TCCCCATCCCAAGGCAGGACATGGTGTGAGCTGAGTGCAGTGCTTCTCTTGGTGTCAGGGATGTGTGGAGCAAGCTGGACATCCAAAGACAAGAGTGGGAATGAAACTTGTCCTCTTACCCCAGGATAATTTGATCGAGTGACAGTCCTGGCAAAATTTACCAGTTAAGTTTGTGTAGCATCCCCCAAAACCCCACTGGGACACCTTTGCCAAGCATCCCTCAGTGCTCTGAGTGAGGAGCATCTCCTGTCCCCACGGTGTCCCCTCCCAGCTGCCCAGCCCCACGTACTGGTGCACGGCATGTCCACGGGGTCGGCGTCTGCCCGGTAATATCCATTKCGGCACACGCAGTTGGTGGCCCCTTCTGAGGTGGTCCGGCTGTTGATGGGGCAGTGGACACAGCCTTCATCCCCCTGGCTGGCCTTGAATGTCCCYGAAGGGCAGCCTGGAAGAGAAGGAGAGCAGTGGTGAGCAGAGAGAAGGGGCTGGGGGGGATTCCAGGAGCCCAACGCTGCCAAAACAGCCCCTTGGGGCTTTGCAGTGTCCAAGGGAAATCTTGACAGCTGGAATTGAGCACAGAGGGGAAGGAACAGGGTGTGAAGGCCCTGAGGAGGCACCTGCAGAGATGGGTCCCCATGCAGATACCTCCTCTGTCCCCATTCCCCAGCCACAAGTGCAGAACAGTTATTGCAGGAATGCAGAGGGGATTTTTAGCCACTGCTACGTGAGGTGTGAGTGGCTGTACCAGGTCTAACCACCCACACCAGAATCCTCCCCAAAACAGTGACTGAGTCAGGGGAGGGTCAGGCTGGATGTCAGGAAAAGATGAGAGTGCTGGCACTGCCCAGGCTCCCCAGGGAATGGGCACAGCCCCGAGGCTGCCAGAGCTCCAGGAGCATTTGGACAATGTTCTGAGGCACAGGGTGGGATTGTTGGGGTGTCAGTGCAGGGTCASGGGTTGGATTTGATCCCTTCCAGCTCAGGATATTCCATGATTCCATGACACCCAAGGAGCAGGGCATGAACCAGGCACATGTGCTGCCCATGCTTCCCTGCTCCTTTCTGAGATGCAGCTCCTGGCACTCAGCATCCCTTGGGGATGTTTTTTCCACTGTTACCCACGCAGTTTTTTATCCCCTGAAAATATTCTGCACCTCCTGTACCTCCACAGAGCCCWGTGCTGACCACACACTGCAGGAAGGATTTGCTGCCATTACTGATGCCATCCCACACTTCCATTGCCAATGGACACTCACTCACCRTCCACCTTGTCCATGACCCCTCGAGCTGCCCAAGCCTCTCTCATGCCCCAATCACACAACATTCACTATTTTATTCCCTTCTTTTTTCAGCAATGCCCACATGATTTTTAACCACCATTGTGCCAGCTGTGAAAGCCCCAAGATCTGAGTTGTGAGGGACATCAGACCAACCCCCAGCTCATCTCACCTAGAGCAAGGTGCCCCTCTGCATGGCAGACAGTCTTTAAGGCCCCTCCAAACCCAAACCATTCTGTGATTCCATGATCCCATCAATCTGGGGTTGTTTTCTCCCGTTTCTATCACCTCAAGTCTGTTAAATCCCATTTTCCTCCTCATTCCCTGCTCACACTGTCTCCCAGGGTCCCTCTGCAGCTTCCACAGAGTTCTGTTTTCAGGCAGATGTGGCACTTGGGGACATGGGTTAGTGACAGACATGGCAGTGCTGGGTTGATGATCCTAGGGGCATTTCCACCCTCAGTCAGTGATTTTATGATTCAATATTACAAACTGTTGGTTCTGCTGAGCTGTAGCAGCGGGTTGGGCTCTCCCTCCAGGGCTCTGAGCCCCTCACAGATGAAGAAGATTCTCCACAAGCAGCAGCCTCTGAACCCACTTGTGTCCAGCAGACAGTGATGAAATCTGGACCCCACTGTGATCCAGCACTGACAGATCCAGCATTCATGGACAAAAATAACTCTCAAGACCAGAAAGTTCCTTCCAAGCCCAGGGATCACCATGCCTGAGGAAAGCTCGGCTCAGAACGTTCCTCTGAGCTTACTCCTGGTTGTGACTTTCTGCTGCTGTTAATTCTTACTCAGCCTGAAGAGCCTGGGGGAGGCAGGTGGTTCCTGTGCTGAAACAAGTTTAACAAACTTCTCCTTCAGTCGCCTGCCAAGGCTCCCAGGAATGAGGCAGATCAGAAAACAGCCTGAGAAAAACATTTGCTCAGGGTTGCTGTGAGCCATTGCTGAGAAGTAGCTATTTTTTCTTGGGGGAAAAACAGAAAAAAAGAAGGTTTGGGGTTTTGGGTTTTGTTTTTTTTTTTTTTCATTTTCATCTTCCTTCCTCCAGAATTATCCTGAGTTTCCAAGGAGAAAAGCTCTACAGAAAAATTCCATCAGCCTTGCTGCTTGCACAGTCCCTCCTTCCTCCTATARTGAAAGGAGCTGTTGGAAAATGGGATTCTCCTCATGTTCCTGGACCTTCCCATCGATCCCTCACACGAAGGATCCCATTCCTGACCCAGTTCCCTCAGGACCAGCCCATCTCACAGGGGATGAAGCTGTTGGGAGGGGTGATGGCTGGGCAGTTCTGCATTCCCAGAAGCGATGGGGACATGATAACAGGGTTCCTGCTCTAATACCAATATTTGAGACACACAAAAGACCAACACACAAAATTGCTCTCGTCTGAGAGCCCAGGCAAAATGCAGGGTCATTCCAGCAAGGATGGTTTCAGACAGAGGCCTCTTTCACCTTCCTGAGGTTTGTTTTTTAAAGCAGCAACTTTCCTACAAGGCTTCTTCTGCATCAAGACAGAGAGACATCCAAAAAATGCCCAGGCTGCAGAATGTAGTGACTGTATCAAGGGGTAAAAACATTCCTCACATTGGCCCTGGCACAGGTTAATGGCTGGAGAGGGATAAAAACTGGGGCTCAATGGTTGTTCCCTAAAAATACCAGTCTGAGTCACTGAAACTCTTTGCATGGGGCACCAAAACACAGCCAGGAGCTTTGGCAATCTCTTCCTCCCCAGTAGGTTCCACGTGGGATAAAACAATTCTGGAAAAATCAGAACTTCTCCAAAGTTCAGTGTTCTGAAATCGTGTGGAAAGACAGGAAAATCACTGAAATTTGATGCAAGCTCCTTTTTTTTTATTGATTTATTTTTCTCTAGTAATGACAACCTCCAGTAGTAAAATAAATGAACATTGTGTTCAAAACTGTTCTGCTCCCTCCAGGTCTTCCCCTGGCTGAGAAAACAGCTTTTCTTTTGGAATCCACCCAATTTCTTGTTTCCAGAGTAAACAGCAAATCAAAAATGAAATCTTCACACAGGGGCTAAACCCCTCACTGCCTGAGCAATGGAAATGTTGTCACCATGTGCTGGAAGCATCAGAGAACCATGGAATGTCCTGAGCTGGAGAGGATCCCAAGGATTTTGGAGTCCAACCCCTGTCCCTGCACAGACACCCCAACAATCCCACCCTGTGCATCCCTGGCAGCTCTGTCCAAACACTCCTGGAGCTCTGGCAGCCTCGGGGCTGTGCCCATTCCCTGGGGAGCCTGGGCAGTGCCAGCACTCTCTGGGGGATGGAACCTTTTCCTGATGTCCAGCCTGACACCCCAGTTTTCAGTCCTGGCAGGTGACAGCAGCTTTGGGACATGGCTGCTTCTTCTTAGGTCTGCATCCYGAGAAATTCCCTGGAAAGAGTGAACTCATTGGAAATGAATCCTCARATCCCTCACTGGAAAGAGGGAATTCAAACAGCAAAAGCACAGAGATTTCTCCTTTCTCTGAGCATCCCTGGAGGGTGATCACAGCGCTGCTGGCTCTGGCCCCAACACTGCAGCAGTTTCCTGCATCTCCTGCACCAAAGGGATGCTCACAGGGGTTCACAGGGAACAGATGGACCTTTAATTGCCTCGCTGCTGTACAGACCCACGGATGGCTGCCTGCCTGGGTATGGCTCCCAAGGCTCTGGAGCTCTGGCTGAGGCTCTCTCCAACCAGGCTGGCAATGCTGAGCAGCTCCAGGGTGCTGTTTCCCGTTCACTCCTTCCCAGAGCGTGGAAAGGTGGTTGTGCCTGGCAAGGCACATSCTTTGGGAGTCACAAAATCACAGAATAAACTGAGCTGGACCCACAAGGATCATCGAGCCCAGCTCCTGAAGGGGAGGGAGGCCATGGAGAAGAATGCCATGCCCTCCCTGCAGAGGAGAACGCCAGCGGGGCCAGGATGGGGGAGGCAAGGCCACCTCTGCTGCTGCTAGCCCTCCAGTCCCAGGCCAGCTCGGCAGGACAGGCATCCCCCAGCTCAGAAAAAGCCCTTGGCCAAACAGGAGGGGCCGCAGAGGGGCTCCCTGCTCCCTCRTGTCTCTCTGCCTCTCTCWAACCAACTGTTTAATTAATCCAGCRTGAGCTGGGCAGGCTCCAAACAGCATCCCAAACTGCCCACAAAGCCCCCCCAGCCCCTCCTGGAAGCAAACAGCTCCTCCTGCAATAAAAGTTCCTAAAAAGGCACCTTCAGGCTGTACTGAGGGCTCTGAGGAAGGAAGGAAGGATCCTCCTGGCCCCTCTGCCTGGCCCTGTTTCTCCTGGCAGCAGGGATCCCTGCACTCCAGCCAGGCATTTTTAACAGCTGATGGAAAGCAGGCAGCCCTGGCTCTGTCAGGATCCGCCAGGAGCCTTCAATCCCCGGCCTTATCTCCCCACAGSTCCTTTCTCCCTGCGGGGCCGGGGCTGGGGGCTGCATCTGCAGCTTCCCTGGTGCTGCAGGGCCCAGGGACACTCCTCTTGGCCACTTCCCGTCTCTCCCCATCCTCTGTGCTTTGGGGTCCCTCTCCACGCTTTTGGGATTCTTCTCCATGCTTTTGGGATTCTTCTCCATGCTTTTGGGATGCCTCCTCCATGCTCTTGGGGTCCCTGTCCCACAGCCCTCCCTGCTCCCACTGGCACCCTCATCACCCCACAAATCCTGTGCCCCACATGATGATCCTSCTCCCATCTGACCCCACATGAGTGCCCCAGATAGGTTTTTATGTACAATAATGGAACAATGTCGTGGCYATGCCATGAGGAGCACAGCCAGGACACGCAGGGTGGTGTTTGCTGTTCCCTGACAGGCACTGGGGATGCTGCCATGGCCAGGCTGGGGCTGCCCATTCCAGGGGGATACAGAGGAGCAGGAGAGACCTGTGGAGGGACTGTCACCCCTGGGGCACAGGAGAGTGGGAATGGGGATGGGGTAACTGGGGATATTGGGGTAAGGGGGGATCTAACTGCACTGCTGAAGACAGACCCAAACACTGCCAGACCCTGTGACACCACACAAGGACTACGAGCTCAGACAGGACAACCTCCAAAAGATGGTGCAGACCTGGGAGAGGGGTGGTGGAGCTCCATCCTAGGGGAGATKGAGCAGAATTCCTTGAGCTCATGCTGGTGGCAGCCTCACTGCAAGTT